TTAAGACAGCTCAGAAGCATGGTAATGGGGATAAGTAGAACCTCTCTATATGGTTAACAAGTGCAAGGCTATAATCATCTCTGCAGCACTTTATGGAAAGCCAGCACATAAGTCATAAACGCTTTGTTTAACAAAATGCCTCATCTCATTCCTATGCTATTTCTTGACTGAGTTTTAAATGTTGATGCCCTTATTGGCTTCTGTTTTTTGCAGAAAGAAAACAAATGTTGTGATAGTAACGCTACACAGAGATTCTTAGCACAAGACAGCTAAGTTTCTATCATACATCTCTGACAAAAGGTCTGAGAAACACATATTCCCTAAAAATAGCTAAATACTTCAGGCATCACCAGCACCACAGGCGACAAGAAGAAAACTCATTCAGATTATCCCTGCCCTCACAGTACAGTTAAACTTACATCATGGCTGGATATAAGTCACCCCTGGAAGACAGAGAATCCTACTTGCACAACTTTCACTCTACTGAAATAGGAATGTTTCAGAGGTGGGAGGGAATGCAAGAGTGGTACCCATAACTCTGTAAATCTGACCAAAAGCAGATGAGACTATCCAGCTGTGCACAAAAGACTTCATGTGCTGAAGCACTTTGTAACAGTGACTAATGAGGACAGTAGATACACGGACAATTACTTTCCTCCACTATTACATATTACTGCATATTCTACTGCTATCAGTGTTTTTAAAGGCTAAACTACACTGCCCCCACAGTCCATCCGATAACATGGTTTAAGTAAAGTTCTATGACTGCTAAAGTATCTCGTATTATCTTGTGTAAATAAAGAATTAAATAAAAATGGTAAGGAATTTACAGAAAGCTGTTTGGAAACAAAGGTCTCAAGGCATCATAACTCTAAGTAGTGCTCTCCTACTGCAAATACAGCAGCACTGATGTGTTGTAGCATTTGAAGAAAATTAAGAAAAACCTAGATGTAAAGATACATATTTAAGTTACATTTAGCTAGCAGAAATAAAAATGTATGGCAACTTCAGCAGTTATATGGCATTTAAAAAAGAAAAAATCTTCTTCCATAAAGAACATCATTCAGGAGCTGTAATAAACAGAGACAAATGAAACCATGAATATTCAACAAGTATTCAAAAAGACATTTCATGTCTGAAAGGAATTTAACATTTTAACTGAAACAGAAACTTAACAGAAAAGCGCACATCAGATCCTGACCACAAAGCATCTGATCACCTGCAATCAAAAGCATCAAGGAATGTCACAATAGGTTGCTAGGCAGACATAAGCAATGAGATACATAGTAGAGCCAGTTTTTCATAGTTTCTCTTTGAACATCTACTTAAAACTGAACTAAGTAGACTGCAATTACAGAGATTCATGCAAATATGGAGTTATCTGACGTATTCCAAAGGTTACACTGTGATGTCCTTTGAAAAAAAACTAAAGACAAAAAAGGGAGCACAAGAGATAACAAACAGGTTTCATAACAGATCACAGTTAAGGAAACTGACCCACCCTTCTTATAATGCAAAATTAGTTTACAGAAATCCCATTCTTAGATTTTAAAAACTGGTAAAACACTTCCTAATAAGCTTATAAAACTTAGTAAAAGTTATTAAGAAGCTTTAAAAACTAGGAGTTAGTAAGGAAAAATGTCTGTAAATACTGTTTGTATAATACTTATCACAGAAGTTTGTCCATCTTCCTGAAACATGCTGTTCATGACAGGTACCATACATTACTCTAGAACTTAAACAACAGATGCTCCAGTATAAAAATACCAATGCTTCTTCATACTTAATTTGCTGTGGGGTCCTTAATGGCTATCAACAATTACCCTTTTTCAAAGATAAAACTTGCAGCACACAAACCCCAAATATTTTGGGAAGAAGGTATCTCTCTCCCATAAGCACATTACATCATAATCTATCTGAGGAAGTAATAGACCTGTATTAATCTACGTCTAAACTGTAAGTATTGTACCACTCCAAATTTCCTCAGGTCTTAATTACAGCTAGACAATTTAAGATTACAAGATTAGCGGCTTGCATAACAACTTTATCCAAAATTTTATGAGCTTCAGAAGACAAAAAGGAAAGCAGGTATCTACTACAAAGTACTTATACTGGTAATGTGTAGACACAGAAAAAATACACACGCACAAGCTCCACAAACCACTGAATACCATTGCCTCCAGTCCTCAAAAGCATCCTGACCTTAACCACTAGCTGTCTTATCCATTCTCTGTTCACACAGTGATGTATTTCCCACTCCATTTTAAATCACCTGTTTTATGTTATATTTCTACTTAAACCATTGCTCTAACCACTCATTCTGTATCTACCACCCACATTATACCACTGTCTTCCCAACTCTTCTAACCACGATCTCCTCTCACAAAGTCAGCCTTTTTTTAAAACAAGGCTCAGTTAAACACAAATACTCAATAATCAACTCAGCTATGCAATCATCACTTGAAAATTTATTAAACTTGTTTTCTAATGGATTAACTGATCTGAAAACCTGATGGGTAAGGTAGATTTTCCAAAGCAAAGCTCAAAAGAACTCTACCATTTGGAGTACTGTGTGCAGTTCTGGTGTCCTCAACACAGGAAGGACATGGAGCTGTTGGAGCAAGTCCAGAGGAGGGCCACGAGGATGATAAGGGCGCTGGAGCACCTCATGTATGAAGACAGGCTGAGAAAGTTGGGGCTACTCAGCCTGGAGAAGAGAAGGCTGCATGGAGACCTCATAGCAGCCTTCCAGTAGCTGAACAGGGCCTACCAGGATGCTGGGGAGGGACTCTTCATCAGGGACTGTAGCGATAGGACAAGGGGAAATGGGTTTAAACTTGAACAGGTGAAGTTCAGGTTAGACACAAGGAAGTTCTTTACAGTGAGGGTGGTGAGGCACTGGAATGGGTTGCCCAAAGAAGTGGCAACTGCTCCATTCCTGGCAGTGTTTAAGGCCAGGTCAGACAGAACCTTGGGTGACATGGTCTAGTGCGAGGTGTCCCTGCTTATGGCAGGGGGGTTGGAACTAGATGATCTTTAGGTCCTTTCAAACCCAAACCATTGTATGATGCTATGATTCTACAGTTGCGGTGGGTTTTTTGTTTCTTTTTTAGTGTGGTTTTATTTATTTGTTTGTTTTAAAAGAGAGAACAGGAAGAAACTGAATTAACCAGCCATGAACCAAGCAAAAGAACAAACTGCTCTGGAGAACCAAAACATAGTATGCACAGCTACTTCTGGTGTATTACTGGTAGTCAAGAATTTATGGAGCCCTGTGACTTTAGGACCAGGCAGCACAAAAGAAGCTGAAAGAATAAAGCCTGGGACTAGAGAGAAGAAACAGATCTTTGTTAAAGCAAAAGATGTGCCTGTAACACAGGCACATAGTAGCCAATGGTTCGAAGTACATTTCTAATTAAATGTAGTATTTTCCCTGTTTATCTGATGCTCAGTCAAACAGTCCTTTAAACAAAGCTGTCAAGGAACAAAGTTTATAAATACAGCTCTATCATCATCATAATGAGGCGGAAAAGTTTCAAGTAAATTCAAGAAGCTTGGGCTTTCTGGAATTTTTTTTCACTCTCTAGATAGCAGAGGCTGTAGTAATGTCCCAAAAACAGTTCCACCAGTTACCACCAAGAGATAAATGTAAAATGCTAATTACCACAACTCACACACACTGAAATCTCATAATGGAACATTACCAGCAGCTTCTCCTGGTGGTATAGGATGACTTCCAATGCTCATTACAGGACAGCTCCCCACAGACACTCAAGGTAGTATGACTGGCTGGAACTTACATATATCATATTTGGATCTGCTGTTGCACCTTAAAATGACACTTAGTAAGAATTACAGCAATCACCTCCTTTTTAGAAGGGTAACAAATATTAAGAAAAATCTTCAACTGAATTTATTAAATGAGACGTTATGTATTTACAATGTATTTTAAAAAAACCACTAGAATACAGGGGGGAAAAATCAGGCACTATCAAGAAGCTGATGATGATCAATGACTGAGACAAACTCCTGTTTAGCTAATTAGAACCACTTATGAGCAATAATGATGTGACCTAAGAATACTTGCAGACTTCCTTAGGATGAAAAATGGAGTGAAGAGAGGTTGTCAATTTGTACAAGTTTTAAGCTCCAATTAGTTTTCCCCATGAGTACCACCTATCTTAAATGTTTAACACAGATGTATTTAGCTACAAAGATTATCGAGATCCAGGTTCCCACAAAATTGAAGAAAATATTCTTAAACTTAACACTTTTCCTATATATGATTTTTTTCCCCTGTGTTATGCTATACTCTACACAACAGGACAGGATAATATTTTTGAGGTTTGGCACATTTTAATGGCTTGTCAAAAATGAAACACTAGACTACGAGGAACTATGAATGAGGTACTTGAAGACGTTAAAATCCAGAAGTTTGTAGAAGTTTATAAAACATTTTTTTGCTA